TCAACAAAATGGGAATTGAAGGAAATTTTGTCAATATTCTCAAAGCCATCAATCACAAGACTATGGTAAGCATTATCCTCAATGCGGAAAAACTAAAGGTCTTCCCTCTAAGCTCAGGGACAAGACAAGACTCTCACCACTTCTATTCAACATAGAACCTGAATTACTTGCCATAGCAATTTGGCAAGAAAAAGATATTAACTGCATCCAGAAAGGAAAGGAAAAGTTCAAGCTCTCACTATTTGCAGATGACATGATACCATACTTAAAGAAACCTAAAGAATCTACTAGAATGCTCCGAGAAACAAAAGACTTGTATAGTAAATTCGCAGGCAACAAAATTAATGCCAAAAGGTCCATGACTTTCCTATATGGAAATAATGACATAGAAGACAGTATATAAAAGAAATAATCCCATTCACAGCATGCCTCAGAAAACCACCGTAACTCTGGGGGTAAAAGGACCTATACAAAGAAAACTACAAAATGCTACTTCAAGAAACATAAGAGGACATGAAGAAATAAAAACATATCCCTTGCACATTAATTGAGGGTATTAACATTGTCAGAAGGTCAATAGGCCCCAATGATTTATACAGATTCAATGGTATCCCTATAACTATACCCATGGCATTCCTCAAAGAAATTGATCATATGGAACAACAAGCCCTCATGAACAGCTAAAGCAATTCTTGGGGCGGGGGAGGGGGCGGGCAAGATGGGAGACATCAACTTCCCCAAACTCAAAATGTACTAGAAAGCGGTAATAGTTAAAACATCATGGTATTGGAAAAAAGACAGATCCACAGACTAAAGAAATAGGGTTGAATACCATTGCATGCCCTAAAATATATGATCATCTAATCTTTTATAAGGAAACAAGAAATATGAAGTAGAGCAAGGAAATTCTCTTTAACAAATGGTGCCAGGAAAACTGAACAGCTACATGCATAAAAATGAACTCAGACCTCTACCTAACACCATGCACAAAAGTCTGCTCAAAATGCATTAAAAACCAGAACATCAAACCAGAATCCATACGGCACATTGAAGACAAGGTTGGCAAAACCCTCCACAAGATTGAAGTGAAAGGTATCTTCAAAAACGAAACAATACTGACCAAACAAGTGGAAGCAGATATAAACAAATGGAACGATCTTAAACTAATAAGTTTCTTAATCTCAAAATAAACAGTAACCAGGGTGCAAAGATAGCCTACGGAATAGGAAAGAATATTCACCCAATACCCTTCTGAAAGGGGGTTAACATCAAGGATACACAAGGCACTGGTTGAATTCTACAAGAAGAAAACATCCAATCCCATCAGAAAATGTGGCAATGAAATGTACAGAAACTTTCTCAAAGAAGAAATTGAAATGGACAAAAAGCACATGAAAAAAAATCTCTTCACCATTAACCACCGTGAAGTTGCAGATTAAAGCAACGATGAGACATCATCTCACACCACAACACAGAGTATGACACACATCCAAAACAACAAAAGCAACCATTCTTGGTGTGGAAGTGGGGAGAAAGGGACTTTTCTTCACTGTTTGTGGGAATACTGACTGGTTTCGCCCTTTTTGACAACAATATGGACGTCTCAAAAAAAAAAAAAGCTAGAAATTGAGCTCACATTTGACCCAGCAATACCACTTCTGGGAATATACCCTGGGGGCCCAAAAACATGCAGCATAAACTCCATCTGTATTACTATGTTCTTTGCAGCACTTTTTACCAAAGCTAGAACCTGGAACCAAACTGAGTAACCAAGAACAAACGAATGGTTAAAGAAATGATGGCACATCTACAAAATGGAATACTATGCAGTTGTTGGGGAAAATGAAGTCACGAAATTTTCCCATAAATGGATAGACATGGAGAGTACCATATTGAGTGAAATGAGTCAGAAAGAAAGGGACAGATATAGAATTACTGCATTTATTTGTGGAATATATATACATACATATATAGAAGTAGAATAATACCCATTGGCAGGGTAAACAGCAATTAGGAAGACTTGCCAATGGTTGGCACTAATGACAAGTGTGTGGGGGCCTGAGGGTAGATTAAAAAGAGAAGAGACTGCTATGAAAATAATAGCTGGAAACGATCACACTGGACAAGACCTGAGGGTTAAAAGTAGATAAGGGGTATTCTATATAACCTCTCAGCTTCAATATTGTAAATCATAAGGCCCATATCCTCCATCTTCCAGTAGGCAGGGTTCACACCCACGAACTGGCCCCCTTTGTGCCGTGTAATCCCATCAAAGGCCAAGACCCAGAGACTTTAAAACCTAGCTCCCAGAAGTGCATGGCCGCGACATCTTATTCTTACTTTGGACAACCTTGCAGGCTACCGAAGGTAACCTGCCCACACAGCAGAGTCTGGCAAACTCCCCGCGGCATACCCAATATGCCAAATACCAGTAACTATGATGGGTCTCATTCTCCTAACCCTGAAAGAGCCTTGAATATGGCACTTTTTAAAATATTAGGGCTAGGAAGAAGGAGACGTTACTGGTGCCTGCTCGAGGCAATCATAGGATGATTATGACCGTGATCGTGAAGACCCAAAAGGAGAGAGAGAGAAGAAAGATAGAGAGATAGAGCGAGAGAGAAGAAAAGTTCCTGCCATAGAGGTAGGCGGGGGGGTGGTGGGTGGGGTGTGATGGGAGGAAACCTGGGAACACTGGTGCTGGTAAATGAATACTGGTGGAGTAATGGGTGTTAGAATTTTGTATGACTGAAATCCAATCATGAACAGCTTTGTAAAATTAAAATAAAGTAAATAAAATAAAATAAAAGGGGAAAGAGATATACATATATGAAGAGATTCATGCAAATTATTGCACTGAAATGTGCACTATTTTTAGGCAAATTTGTGTAAAGTTTGCTCATTTCTGTTAATTGGATATTTTTATCAAAGCTATCATTATCAGATTAGAGGAAAACAGAAAACTCCAAAAACTAATCAGGTAACTAGTAGAAATTACAATCACATTTATAGAGTAGTGTAATGAAAAATCAAAACATAAAATATAATGATTTTAATAAACAGTAAATCAGAGAGGATCGGAATTAAGAAAACTATGCAATTGAGATTTAATCAGATCAGTGAAATAAAAGGATATGAGATATCACTTAAAAAAGAAAGTAGAAGAGGGACTGTTACAGTTGGACCAAAAATGACTCATGAATGGTTGAAAAGACTCAAAGCACTTCAGCAGCAGCATTGTGAAACAAGTTTCTAATACATCAATATTATAAATTATAGCACCACTGTTACCTGAACCATAATAATGTAAACAATAAGATAACAGAGGATTTTACTTAACTAGTCCTATTAATTTCCTTTTTAAAATTTATTTTATTCATTTTCAATTAGGCATCATCTGTTGTAATTCTGTTTACAAGAGTTTTAGTATATGACTTTACTTTTAAAAACATTGTATGGAGCAGTGGTTTTAACAGGAATTGCCTAAACCAACCTTGACCCCGGAGTTTAGGGAGAGGTATGAAAGAAATGGAGTGAAGAAGAAAGGAAGAAGAGATGAGTAGCAATTTTTAGCAGAGCTCAAGGGGACTCAGATACATGGATGATGTTGAAGAATGCTACAATATACAAACCACACAATCAACAACACTGAAATCTCAAGACTTGAGTTTTAATAACCAGATTTAAAAGGTTCCTGTAAAGATGGCAGTCTGGTGCTAGAAAGGTCAAGTAGGAGAGAGATTCTGGGAATACCGGTGGAGGGAAGTAGACACTGGTAGCAGGATCAGTGGTGGAACACTCGATGTCAAAAACTCAAATTTTAATAACTCTTTAATTCATTGTACTTTAATAAAATAAATTTGGTTGAATAGCCAAATAAATATTAGAGTGCCTCTTGCAGAAATTGTCTATTGAGACTCTGGCTTATTATGCAATTAATAATGATTTCCTATGCACCTAATTCCAACATCGCCCCCATCGTTGGTGTATCTTCTACCACTCCCACCACCCCAAGACCCCCCTTCAATCCCCATCCCAATTCAAATGTGTGGATCAGTTCTCTCAGTATGTTACTTTTTTTTTAGCCTTTGTTGCTACATTACTGTGTATTCTATGTCCCACATATCTGAAAGAACCTTTTGTATCTATCCCCTTCATTCTGAATGACTTCACTAAGCAGGATATCCTCTAGTTCCATCGTCCTGCTGTAAATTGCATGATTTTGTTTTCTTAGAGCTGCATAATATTCCATTCTGTATATATGCCACGCTTTTTAATTCATTCATCTGTGACTGGATATTTGGGTTGTTTTCATACTTTGCCTCTTCAAAAAAAGTGCAGTGATAACCATAGGCATGCTTATATCTTTTCAATTTTGTGGGTTTTGTATTATAGTTTTGCTTTTAAGTTGGAACTATATTTTTTATTGAATCCGCATGAGATACAGTTGCAGACTTATAAACTTTCATGATTACATTTCAATCATACAATGATCGAGTACCCATCCCTCCACCAGTGCCCATTCTCCACCACCAATTTTTCAGTATATGTCACACCTCCCTCACCCCTTCTCACCCTTTGCCCCTGGGACAGGCACATTTCCTCTTTCTCTCTCTCATTTTGGGTGTTACTGTTTGCAATAATAATATGGTACTAAACTGGCATCATGTTTGTCCACAGTCTACTTTCGGCAACATCTCCCATCCCAAGTGATCCCTACCACCATCATTTACTTTGTGGTTCATTCTCTATCCCAGCTGTTTTTTCCTCCAGCATGTGAGCCCAACTTCCAAACCATAGTGCGACTCTCCTGGCCCTTATATCTACTGTCCTTGGGTGTTAGTTTCCCATTCTTTTACTTTATATTCCACTAATCAGTGCAGTCATTCTATGTCTTTCCCTCTCTTTCTGACTTATCTCACTTAGCAGTATTCTTTCCATGTCCATCCACTTAGATACAAATTTCATGGTTTCATCTTTTCTAACAGCTATATAATATTAAAATTTTGGAAGATTTCACAAATTTGTAAGTCATCTACATGGAGGGCCCATTCTAATCTTCTCTGTATAATTTGAATTTTAGTATATGTTGGGCTGGAGCAATAGCACAGTGGGTAGTGCATTTGCCTTCCAAGCAGCCAACATGGCCGACCCGAGTTCGATTTCTCTGCCCCTCTAGGACAGCCTGGCAAGCTACTGAGAGTATCTCACCTGCACGGCAAAGCCGGGCAAGCTACCCATGTTGTATTTGATATGCCAAACACAGTAACAATTGTCACAATGAAGACATTACTGGGCCCGTTTGAGCAAATTGATGAACAACGGGAGGACAGTGACAGTAACAGTATATGTTGCCAAGGCAAGCACTGTTATTTTAGTTTTACCAGTCAAGCAACATGTTAATTGCAATACAACAATGAATTTCCACATTTCTCCACCAATAATCACAGGTTCCCTTCTACCCCAAAGCTGTTTCATTAATACACAGATCTTTAAGAGTATTTTTGGTAACATACCCCATATTGACTGGAGTTTAGTATCTAGTGTCTAACTTCTATACAGATATCTTTAGTATCAGATAGTAAACATATACAGATATCTTTAGTATCAGATAGTAACATATATCTTTAGTACCTAACTTATATACAGATATCTTGACTATACATCTTGTCCCTATGTTCTTTCAGATCCTTTCTATATTTTCTAATGTGCATTTTAGTTTCTGTAATCTAGGGTTGCATTTCTATATGCAAATAAAGATATAGTAAAGAAATAAAATACTTCTTCAAGTTCCTAAAAGAGTATATATATATATAAGATTTAACTGGCCCACTATCATCCCAGTACCACGTGGTCACTTAAGCAACTTTGCTACAGCCTAGATGCCTCAACCACTGTGACTACTATGGAAGTTCATTTAATGAGCATTGTATCCTTGAACCTTTGTATTGAATCAACAGTCTCATTGGCCAAGAAACTCTGGTTGACCACACTAAGCATTCTCATCATCCTGAGTATTGCTTAAAATCCCCAGTATCCAATTCTACTATACTTAAGGTGGATTTATATGATGTCCAAAAACATAAAATACCTACAATGCAAGTAAGTAAAGGAGATGAAAGACTTACATATGGAAAACTACAAATCACTATTGAAAGAAATAGAAGACAACAGCAGATATTGCATAAATATTACATATTCATAGTTTTGAAAATATAAATTTTCAAAATGACTATCCAACCCAAAGCAATGTTAAGATAGAATGCACTTAAATTTCTGAGATCAGGGGATATGGTACCACCAGCAGATCACCCTGTACCTGTGAGGCGAGTGCATCAGCAGCCTGTTGGCACTGTCAGACTTCCAGATACCCCAAAATTGCTGCTGTGCTTTGGCCAGACCCCAACAAATTGGAGCAAAGTTTACCAAGAAAGTAAACGGTCAAAAGTTAGGTATGTGGGAGACACACCCACAAACCACTTCTGGCTCAGCTATATAATTGGAGTCATGACCTCTCTGGTTCCTGATTGAATTGCTTCAAGGGTATTATCCCAGAGACTGAGAAACGAATCTCGGAACTCAAAGGCTTTTGGCAGAAATGCGTCCTGTTCCTGTAGTAGGTTACTGGCGCTGGGCCAATCCAGGTGAGAATAGGTGTCCTACCTTGGCCTGTTTCCCCCCGCAGCCCAGTGACTACCATCCTCCAGAGGCCACTGGACTCTGTCTGGTTTGGGCCTGCAGTCACGAGACAAGTTGGGACTAGACATGATGAGACTAAGGGGGTAGAACTGGCCCTTTCCTCCACATCCCAATGAGACCCCAAGTCACCACCCACAAACGGCCTCCCTGGCTCCTGATCAAGCAGATTAACGGTCATATACCCAGAGACTCAGAAACAAATCTCGAAACCCAGCGGCTTTTGGCAGAAATACATCTGGACCGCATACAAGGTGGCTGACACCTCAGAGCTTATTGGAAAGCAAGGTATGATCCAGCGGTGACGGGGCAACTGCAGTCTTATGGGAAGGGGAATGGTACCAGCTCATCCTTCACGCCCTACTGAGGTCAAGAGTTGCGTTAAACTACAGCTCCATGCTTCTCTGGGAGTGAAAGGGTGTTGCTCCCTTCCGCCTCCACCCCCCGCTCCCACCCTAGCAGCAAGGTGGCTGCCGCCTCAGAGCTTATTGGAAAGCCAGGTATAAGCCAGCGATCATGGGGCAACTGCAGTCTCATGGTAAGGGGGGCGGTACCAACTCATCCTTCACGCCCTACTGAAGTCACGAGTTGCCCCCAACAAGTGACTCTCTGGCACGGCCATAACACCAGACACACAGAAACCAATCTTTTAATTATCTGGTTCTTTGCAGAAATGCAAAATCATTATATGACATTATGTGATTCTCATACCAGCTATAGAAAACAAAGTATTTCACAATGCCTTTTCAGCAATTTTGATTGCTTGGGGGGATATTCTAAACAATAATGGTGCATCTTTTGTCAAAATAATGAATGTAATCAATGTAGAGGAGAGTTCAGTAGAAATCATCTGCCTCACAGGCATTGGAAGGGGTGAGAAGGGGGTATATTGAGATACTTGGTGAAAAAATGAGTACTGGTGTAGGGAAAGGTGTTTGATCATTGTATGACCGAGATTTAAAACTGAAAGCTATGTAACTTTTCCCACAGTGATTCAATAAATAAATATAAGAAGAAATTTTGCTTGAGCGGGCCCAGTAACGTCTCCATTTGAGACTTTGTTGTTACTGTGTCTGGCATATCGAATACTCTCGGTAGCTTGCCAGGCTCTCCGAGAGGGGCGGAGGAATCGAACTCGGGTCGGCCATGTTGGCCGCTTGTAAGGCGAACGCCCTACACGCTGTGCTATCGCTCCAGCCCATAAGAAGAAATAAAAAAAGAAATTTCTGAGACCATAATTTAAGGACTTATACTCCACAGAAAAGTTATTTTTTCCTCCTGTGTTTTTGTTTGATTGGGATCACACCTGAATATGCTCAGGGCTCACTCCTCGCTTGGTGCTCAGCAATCAATCCTGACAGTGTCTAAAGACCACATGTAGTGCTAGAAGTCTGGTGCAGGGCATTGAACCCAGGTCAGTCACTTTACCTGCTGTACTATCTCTCAACAGTCCCACCAAATCTGTACTTATTTGCAGAGAAAATTGTGGCTATGTTTCATGGTAACACTGAGTAGCACTTCTTTGTATACATATACTTTTCTGTAATAAAATCAGATATATTTTGTTTACACTTGGGTGTATGAATTTAAGAGATTCCCTTATTAGGGGTTGTCAACAGACAACTGTTAAACCCTTGTTACTATCTAGGAAAGTTATTATTTCTCGTCCCTAAAGACATAATTCCCAATGACACCTCTGTGTAAGACTTTGCCAGTTTTCTAATCTCTTAGTTTCATTTCTCATGTGTGAACTTCAGTCACAAGGGTCACTCATTTTTACGTAGAGTGACTTATATATCATAAGACACTTTGGTAATAAAACATTTTCCCCAATCCATTCTTTGAAATTCTATCTTTGGCTGGAGTAAGTACAGCAGGTAGGGTGCATGCTTTGCATGCCAGGTTCTCTCTCCAGTCCCAACAGGAGCGATCTCTGGGTGAAGAGTCAGGAGTAAGTCCTGGGAACTGCTATGTGTTCCACCTACCAAAGGGAGAAACAAAACAAAACACATCTATGTTTGACAAGATCAATTAGATTGTATCTGTTTCTGTATCTTTTAAAAGTCATCGTATATTTGTCAAACAATTTCATTTTAGTACTGAGTTACCAAAACTCAGTTCCTAGATTGAAAGTGAATCAGCCTCTCCAAGAATTATTTTTTATTCAAGATGAACTGAAAATTCTTAATATTCAATAAAAGAGGCGGTAACCAGTAGAGACACTTAGAAATATGTTGGAACTACCATGTCTATGTGTTCAACTGAGTCTTTATCTCCTTCCATCCTATTGGTAAGTATTCTATAATTTTCTATTATTAGTATTAGAAAAGACTTTGACTTACGGTCTAGTTTTTTGGTGTGAGATAATTTATGCCTTTTATTTTAAAAGAGCAATAATAAGTCAGATGTTTCAGAACAATTAAAAATTTTTGTCATTTTGTTCTAGACAATTGAAATACAAACAAATCACACTTAATAGTAGTAATTTTTACATGCACTATGAAAGTTGATATATATTTCCTGTTTACTTTTCCTTTATTAGATGATCAGGTGAAGCATGCTTTCAAATGAATTCAAATTCGTAATTAGAATAAAAAACCTTTCTGAATAGTTTAAATTAAAATTCTTCATATTGTAATTTCCAAATATTTTTATAGTAAGATAAACCTATATCATCTAATTAGAACAAAAATAGCAACATTATTGCAACTGGTTTTACCAATTTATTTAAAAGAGAACATTAATGGAAAAGCACTTAAAAGAAAATATGTATAGATTAATTTACTTTATCAAACATTCTTCCTGACTTGATGGAATTCTTCCATCAATGATAAGCATGGAATGTGAGATGTATCAGTGATATTGAACCCTCAGGACATGGGTATTTGTTCCAATGACACACTTGAAGTCCTGAAAGATAAAGAACTTTCTCATTTGTTTTAGAAAGTTCAATTTCCAGAGAATCTGTTGGAACATATTGAGATTACCAGATGGTTATTCTCTATCAAGATGATATTATTGTTGTTATCACATACTTAATAATATGTAATAGCTTGCTAATTATAGACTTATTTTATTTTTTAGAAAATCATTACTGTCATCTATTACTATTTTGATAGGGAGAAAATAAAACCTGAATAATACAGGCACTGATATTATACACATATGGAATTCTTACAGGTATAATCTAGAGTAAATATCTACAAATCACTGTAGAGTTAGCTAATAATATTTGTAGCACTGTAGCACTGTGACACTGTCATCCGGGTGTTCATTGATTTGCTCAAGTAAGCCCAGAAATGTCTCCATTGTGAGACTTGTTGTTATTGTGTTTAGCATATCGAATACATCATGGGTAGCTTGCCAGGCTTTGCCGAGCAGATGAGATACTCTCGATAGCTTGCCTGG